GGCCGGGAGGGATAGTACGAGGGGGCTGCTCTGAGGACAGGGGACGGGGGTCGTCCTAAGGGAGCAATGAAGGGAAGCCCAGGACTGACTGGACATGGGGAACGAAACCCGCCCCCTTGCTTCAGACCGGGAGGTCTCAAGTGGGGCAAAGCCGGGTGCCTTGGGGGAGGGGACATGTCCAATGCCGAGCCTCAGAAAGACAGACAGACAGCACCCACCCTGCTCCCAGCACCCTTCTTGCCACGAAGCGGCAGCGAATCAGCATTCGATTCCCTCTGCTCCCTTTCCCCCTTCAGCATTTTGGAGCCGCGGTTTTGCTGACAGGTTAAGTGGCCGACAGCCTGCCTGGCAGACCATTTCATTAAGGACTTGATTTAGTTTCTCCCTCTCTCACTCCCCCCCCTTGTGACTCCAATAAATCTGACTCTAATGAACAGGGACTAGTGGTGCTTTAAAGGAGATCCGGAGCAGCCACGTAGCTGCCTGTGCGACACACACACACACACACACACAGCAGGGAAGGGACCCGCGGCATCTCGCTGCAACGTCCTGGCCACCACGGAGCCCAGCGGGCACTGACTCTGGCTGCCAGATGTCCCCCAGCCTCTCCGGGGCTCAGCGGAGACGGAAATATTCCCCAAACAAAGCCACGCCAATAAATGCCAAGACAGCCTCGTCTACTTACGAGCTGCTTCGTGGTGCACGATACTCACTGTCTGCTCCCTACGGCCGAGGCGGCTGGCAGGACGCTTGACCTCTCCCCCCGTCCCCTCTCTCTTTGCCCGGCACGGACGGACGACGGCGTCTGTGCAGAAAGAGAAAGATCACCACAGCCTTAGAAATCCAGCACCCGCTGTGACCAGAATCTTAAAGAAGCCGGTTGGCTCAGCCCCAGAGCCCCGGCAGGGAGCGAGCTGGTAAACACAGCCACCGCTTGCTTGCTCGCTCGCAAATCAGGAAGCCGACATGGGGAGCGAGTGCATTACACCCACCACGGAGCAGTGACCCTGCTCACCGGCTTCTAGGAGGGGCCAGCAGCGAGACCCCAAGACACCTGGGGTGGGCATGAGGAGCAGGTGTCTCCTTCAGCTTGCTTCGCTGCTCTTTTTCCCCCGCGGGAGGAGGCTGAGGGGGGTCGGGCTTGTTCTAACAAGGGGCACGTGGAAAGCCAGGGCTGAGGAGGGTGCAATGGCTCAGTCCAAGGCTTTCACCGCTGGGCCCAAGGTTTGAATTCCACCGGGAGGGGGAAGGGCTGAAAGCCACATCAACGGGAAACGAGTTGGTCGGTCTCAGCACAGCTCCAGCAGGCAGCACACAGGCCAAGGAGACTGACCTGCCCAGGCACACACTGTGGGGTCCCGGCGGACCAAGGCAGGGAAAGACTTAGCTCGCACGGCCAGGGGCCCCGAGCCAGCTCTGTCAGGGCACTACCACAGGGAAGCTCACACCGCCCGGGGCTCCTAGCCATCTTCTGTAGAGAACTGCCAAAAGGAAGCTCCTACTGCCGGGAACCCCTGTCTTCAGTGGGGGCACTGCTACGGGGAAGTTCAGACCACCAGGGCCCCCCTAGCCAGCTCTGTCAGGGCACTGCCACAGGGAAGCTCACACCCCTGGGGTCCCTAGCCGGCTCTGTCCACAGGGTAAATATCTGGAACCAGCTTGGGGCTGCATTCCTCAGCCAGACTCTGTTCCTCGGGAGGGGGGCGGAGGAGAGATCGAGGGAGGGCAGTCACCCTTGCATACATTTTCCCTGTCTCCAGAGCAGGGATCTGATTGGGGAAGAGCCAGGGAAGGATACTGCAGGGCTCGTGTGTCTGGGGACTGCACGCCGATGGAGCTTTGTCCAGCAGGTACGGATCACTGCTCCTCCACACACCCGGCTGCAAGCCGTGGCCACGGGAAATATTACTGGAAAAAACCATCCTCCCTGCTCATGAATGCAAGGCGGCGGGGACCCTGCACTGCCGCTCGGCTGCCTCCCAGCCAGCTTCACTGAGATTAGCAGGGCTCTGGGGCTCGTACAGCTGGGAATGCCTGTCCCTCCTGCGTGTGACCCTGGGGCCTGCAGCATAGGGGCAGCAGTCAGTCCCTGCGGTGACCGCAGCTTTGCTCCTGCACTAACCAGGGCAGCCCTAGCTCTGCAGCTCTGTGCAGAAAACAGCTGGAGCAGCAGCAGCTCTGATCCCTGCAGCTGCCAGAAGCTGCCAGGCTTAGGGTGGGACAGCAGAGCATGCAAAGTTTTTGAGTCTGCAGACATTGGGGAATGCAGCCCTGGGAGTGGCCGGAGAGTAAGCACCAGATGTGCCCAAACCGCTTTTATCAGGAGTGTAAAAACCCCCAGGAGGCAAAAATTAAGTTAAATTAAACACAGTTTTTTAAAATAATAAACCTCTTTAAAATTGCATTTAAAAATATGGCCACCTCTGTTAAAGCCTAAACTTATTATAATCTACTAAACTCATTTCAATTAATTACAAAAATACTATTGTACAGTGCATTGTTGCTGCTAAGTTTTAAAGAAAGATCACTGAATGAGGGGTACATCACTGGTGTGTCCCTGGAACCGAGATTGTGAGATCACTAGCTTCTATTGTGAGCACAGAGAGAATATTTCCTTAGTTCATTTATTCAACTAGTTCAGATCAGTGACTAGCTCCCTCAAACCAACTCTGACTTGAAAAAGCAGGAAAGCTTATTGTCCTTTTTCAGTCCAGGAACAACTAGTTGTGAGAGGAAGAGATCTACTAGTTCTAAAATCTTGAATGACACCGTGACCAGAAACAATCTGTTCAATTAATTCGCTACAAATAACACCTCCTTTGTTTAACAAATCTGTTAGATTGAAGTGAAAAACAAAAACATGTTTTGATAAACTTTTTTTCTTTCTACTGTAGCTAGCACTTAAGGTAATTTTAGTTAATTACAAAATTAAGATGCCATTTTTGGTTATGTTTTTAATTGGCTTTGAATTTCCGACCAAACAGAGCTTAATACAAATCCCAAGTAAAAACTGAACCATCCAATAAATGAGAAATGCATCATTCACCATTTTCTAACAAAAAATATGCAAACAGAATCAAACTAATTGCACAAATAAGCATACAGAAATAATGTCTACTCCTGGTTAGCAAAAAGCACCACCCTATTTGATGTATTTTTAGTTGCAAACAACTTATTTTAACGGTTACCAGCTAGTCAGACTCAATCATTCTTTAGGAAAATAACTACAAATGAAAAACATGATTAAAATAGAAGCTTCCTGCTTGCAGATACCAACCACAGTTTAAACTTGTGATTTAAATGGCTTTGATTTACAAATCAACCCATCCATACCTGGCACAGCATTAAAGGGTCTCACGATGAACACAGCTGGTGTATAGAAGCAAGCCCTGTAGCCAGCCCATGGCTGATACAGGATCATGAGGGAGACCAAGGCTCAGAGCTTTGTAGTATACACTGCATGCCAAGCAAGAAACAACCAGCTTGCCTCGTGCCATCCCTGATTCTGAATATTACCAGAGCCATCAGACAGGGACCATCTGTCGAATGGATGAAGACCTGGCATTTCAAGACCTGCTGCCATGGACGGTGCCTAGAATGTGCCTTGGCCGCATTTTACAGGCCCTAAAAATCAATGTGGCAGAGCCAAAAGTGCTTTGCAGCATGAGCCTTGGACTGCAGAACACCCACTCTCTTTATGGAATTCTGAATATTACCAGAGCCATCAGACAGGGACCATCTGTCGAATGGATGAAGACCTGGCATTTCAAGACCTGCTGCCATGGACGGTGCCTAGAATGTGCCTTGGCCGCATTTTACAGGCCCTAAAAATCAATGTGGCAGAGCCAAAAGTGCTTTGCAGCATGAGCCTTGGACTGCAGAACACCCACTCTCTTTATGGACCAAGATACAGTCCACAGGCCAAATCCGGCCCACCAAGCCATTTGATCTGGCCTGTCCTGCCACTCCCCCGCCTCCAGACCAATCAAGGCCTGAGGTTGGGGGAGTGCGCCAAGTTATTCGCTGTTCAAAGCAGCACAGCACCGAGGGAACCGCCCTTTTCCGCTTAAGGCCCCGCCCCTTTCACCTGAAGCCCCACCCCTTCTGGGGTGGATCCAGCCCATGACTATGTATGAAAATTCAAGCAGTGGCCCACCTGCAAAATTATTGCCCATCCCTGAGCTAGGTCTCGTCTGAGCTGCACTTATGTAAATGCACCACAGCGCCGTTCAGCCAACGGAATTATCCCGCTGTAAACGGGCAGAGCCCCAGTCACCCTTGTCGCATGCCCCTTCGGGACAGGAAGCCACAGCCAGGCAGACAACAGACCAACAGCGCCTGACACAGCAGTGGGGTAAGGAGCAGTGTTCCCTGTAAGCTAAGCGCTCGGAGAGCTGCCCAGGAGAGACTGAAATGCCACCCAGCGGAAGGCCCATAGCCTCCCACAGCCGGGCAAAGGCACAGTCGCTGGATCCCAAAGCGGGGGCTGGGCGCGCCTGCCTGCACTCTGCACGGTGCAGATTCCACGCTGTAGTTACACGCCTGTTCTGCAGCCACCGGAGCAGACAGTGGTGCTGCTGCAGGGAAGGGGAGACCAACCCACCACACCCCATCCGCCAGGCTCGGTCTGAACGTCAGAGACCGTCTGAAACGAGCCCGTTAGTAAGCCTGGGCATTTCCCCCACTTTAAAACGGAGGAAGCTAAATGCAGAGACTGTCAGGGATCTAACATTTGAAACTCACTCAAAGGAAGGAAGGGAGGTAAGTTTACACAGCCAAGCTGCTCACATGCAGCCCTCTCTCCTCCCCTTCCCTTGGTAAAATGGGGAGCCCACAAACTTTACCATGAGGCCAGACTTAGGAGAAACCCAAATGGGAGACTGCTAGCTGGTTTCCCTTCCACTCTTGGGGAGAAATGGGGGGAAAAACTGGGCCAGGTTTATATTTGGTTCAGTGTTCCCTAGCGAGGTGACCAGGTAACCCGTTACCCAGTAAGCATCACCTTTAACCGGCAATGTTTACTAGGTAATGGTTAACCGTTACCCAGGAATAGTCCCCTGCTCATGGCTCCAGCCCCACAGGGCTGCTGGTTCCCAGCCTGCTCAGATGCGGCAGCCAGGAATGTTTAGCCGATTAACTAATGAAATGGGATTTTACATCCCTAGTGTCCACCACTTAACACGCTCCACCCATCCCTGGCCCCCACCCATTTGCATGGTGGGTGGCGTTTCTGCCAATAGTAACCCCTCGGGGCGTGTCTTCACTACCCACCAGATCGACGGGCAGCGAGCTATCCCGCAGGGCTCGATTTATTGGTAAATCGGCCACCAAGTGCTCTCCCATTGGCTCTGGTGCTTCCCCAGAGCGAGCAGAGGAAAGGGGTGGATGGGAGAGAGGGGGAAGCTGTGGGAAGCAGCTCTAAGTACATCGACTTCAGCTACGCCGTTCATGTAACTCAGCTTGACGGCCCACGGGAGTGTGGACTAGGCCGTGGCCCGGCCCTCGTTTGCTGTCGTGGTAGCAGGACACATAGCGCCAACGTGCTCCACTAGAGCGGGGAATTCTCAGCAGAGCCAGGCAAGAACTCACTCAGACCCGGAGGCGTTGGATTTTCAGGCAACGTTTTAAAGGCACTTTCTCTCCCCCGCCCTGGACTCAGCCACGAACTTCCCCTGTGGCCTCGGGCAAGTGACTTAGACGCCTACATCCCTTTGTGGCCCTGTCCCTAACTGCCATTTTACGCATTGACATCCAACATTTGGACACCCGTTCAGCAGCTGGCTTAGCCCTCTAGGCCCCCAAGTTTCTGCCAATTGTATCCCCTCGGCATAACCTCCATGTCTGCCTTGCCTGCGGGCCCAGTGGACGCTCGCAGGGGCCAGCGCCCCACACACCAGACCCTGCTGATACTGCTGGAAGAGGAGCCCCCTTCCCCAGCTCGGTGGGTACAACTCTGGCCCAGGCAGGAGATGGGGGTTCACCACCCCACTTCGGCCTGATTCGGGGCAGGGACTTGAGCCTTGCGCCCCACCCCCGAGCTCTGCAGTATTGGGTGGGGGGAGAAAGAAAGGGGGCTCAATCTGCCCTGGTGAGGCTGCCCCACTTTGCATAAGTAGCTGCATATGCATGAGGCCAGTGAGTGAGAATGGCCCTCTG